TGTGTCTGTTGATTTGTGCTTGTTTGTGTACCACGTGTGTTCAAACAGGTGTCTTTCAAACTCGTAACCGCGCCGTAATTGATCCCAAAGGGTGCCTTACTGTGAATATACCCTGAGGGCCACAGAAGAGCGGACCCATTAACAACACCCCCTCCGTGTGCAACCCGATCCCCCATCTCTTGCTAGATACGTGTCCAGATAAGACTCACACGCTCACACGCTCAGGGATGAGAAGAAAGTTCTTACTCATTCTTCCCATACTTTGCGGGAGTGCTGAGATAAGTTTGCTTTTAGGAGGAAGTGATTGTCACGAGGTGTCAGAGGTGAAAGGTGACACATTTTTAGGGTTATCATTAGGTTACATAATGACCTGGTCCCTGTCCTCGCCGCTCAGGAGGCAGATGGTTAGGTGTTGTCTCCTGTCAACACAATATTTGTATCCTGTCCAATCACACCTCCTTCTAGCTTTTGGACATTTTTAATTTCTTGCCTTGAGGCAAAAGTGAATTAAAGTTACAAAAATGCATCATGGTTCTGTGAGCGATACAGTTTTGGCGAATGCGATCTACAGCCATAGATTGTAAAGTAGAGTCTATGTCTGGCCATGTTTTGCCGCCACATAATGGAAAACCTCATGGAGGAATTCTGTAAGGGCGTTTTGAAAGAGTACTGTGAAGATAACTTTCTCTGTGTTAGAAAAGGTGCCCTTGAACTGGAAAGCAACTGAAGTTCCACATGAGGGTTCTGCATTGAGGAGTGGTGCGCTAGGATTTGATGTCTCCTTTTGAAGTGTCTTTATGAGCAAAGTCTGTGCTCTGACTCGCTGAATCGAGCTAAGCCCGTCTTAAGCAGGGGCCTCCACTGTCTCTGCTATTCTTTCCTTTTCTCCTCCATTCACTCCGGGGACGACTCCTGTCTTTTTATTTCACCACCATGTGTGTTGTCATAGAATACTAATAGTTTACAGGACCTGTTCTGTTGCCAAGATGATTCTTTCTACAAAAGTAGATTAGGGTTGAGTAAGACACCGAAGACGAGCCAATTCACAGTAATATTTTATAAGGTTTTTGTGAGATGTCATTTGTCATTTTTTTAATTGATGCCCAGATTGGCCAATCAGCAAATATATATAGTTTACAATTTATTTAATTGGTTCATTGATTTCTGTTATTGTTAGTTTAATATATTTGGGTTTTAGACTATGCTGCAGGCAAAGAAAGTCATTTGAAGATGTGGCTCTGAGAACTTGTGATGGTTTTTGCATTTTTTGAGACTTTCTGCACTAAAAGATTGATGGGGAAAAGTATGGATTTATTCATCTCTATGGAAAATAATCATTAGTTGCAGCTCTAGCTTACAGATAATATGTGGTTTATTGTACTGTGTTCTTATGTAACTAAAACACCACACCTTTTAGGCTGATGCATATAATGATTCATACGTTTATATTTTTCACAATATATTCATATACCTCCTTTGAAAACTTCATCAACATCAATTTGATAGGATTGTATGGCATAGAAACAACCAGGTTTATTTTACAGCAGTAAATAGTTAGCTACTTACCTGCTAGCTTGCAGCTATCATGTCTTGCTGTGCTAAAAAGCAATTACTTCATTGTTGCTTTATTGTACTGTGTTTTTATGAAACACCACTTCTTTCTTAAGTGTAGTGGTCCACTACTTTTTACTCTCAGCTCTTCAAGGGTCACAGCCCTTTGAGGAACTATTATTCCATCACCTTTACATGTTTGAATGTTGCAGCATTATGCTGAAGCCAGTGGGTGGCACAGGACATAATCACATATATCAATTCTGTGCAGAATCTGACACCCACAAGCAGACAGAGACCCCCTCTGTACTGGATGTACCAATCGAATGTCCTCCACACAACATGTTATGTAACACCTGCAGCACATGAAACGGTGTTATTCAGCTGGTGCATTTCAGGCACTCGTGTTGTACATTGTACTGCAGGGAATCTTATGTCCTACATTTCCAGTCCTTGATGTTAAATGCCCTCATTTGTTTCTCTCCCTCAGTGTGTAAAACTTTGAAGCCCAAAAAAATAGACACAGCACAGTATGTAAGGAGAGGATTGTCAAGGGGTTTCCCAAGACTATTCGGCCGTACACACAGCTGGCATACCTCCCTGTGAAGGGTCACATGTATGTGTTGTAGAGGAGGGCGCATGTATTCTATTTCCAGAACTAGTCCTGAGCCACTTTAATCCCCCCGCCTTGCCTCCATTGCCATGGGCAGAAGAGAAAGAAAGGCCCCCCAGCCTGCCCACCCCACGGCGGGGAGCAATGTTGCTGAGATTGAGTTGCATGTTTACTGAAAATAGATTGTGAGTAGAAGAGTCTTTTCTGTCAGACAGACAGAGGGTTTGATAGAGACGATATCAGCAAAGGAGACAGCTCTGTTAGTGCTGCGCTTCAGGGGAAAAGACTAGACTCAGGCATTCAACTGAGGTAAGACCTCATGTTGCGTGTGTGTGTTTGCATGTGGGTGAATGTACAGAGATGTGGTTGTGTGCACATGCCACCACAGCTGGTTGCAAACAAATGATGTAGCTGTGCTGGTGCCTTTGTGTCTTGGAGTTGCTCTCAAAAATCATCTTATCCTAAGAAAGGCTTTCTCAGCACCATCCAGTATATTGCCAACATAAAGTTTACAGTAATAACTGTTCATGTGGTCTAATGTGTTTGCCATTTAAAATGCAAGTATTTGCATTGATCATTTAAACGACACATTTAGTATCACTTATGCAACTATGCCCACTTGGTGGATAATCTGCAAAACATAATGTATAAAATACCACAAGAAAAGCTCTGCAGGATAATAACCTAAAAATAATCCTAATATTTCTTTCCCCAAAGCTTAAGCTGTGTGTGTGTGTGTTGCATTTAGTGTGTGTTTGTGTAAACAGGGTGTGAAGAGCAGGCCAGGGGCGGGTGTCGGGATGTGAATTTAACGTTTTCATGAGGCGGAGGGCTTTAACCTTTTCAACCCACTGAACCCACAAGTGGATCCATCATTCAAACGCAGCCAAACCGTCAAAGCCACATAAACTTTATATTTGATACTCTAGTCAGGTTCCCAAGTCAAGTTCCCATGACACCACATGTCATCCTGAATTATTTGGAAATGTGTGTATAAAATGATGCAGAAGACATCTAGAATTTTCTATTTGATGTGATGGTAAAGCACCATGGTTTGGCATATTTCACCCAATGCAAGCATGCAGTAGCTTCAAGCGAAACTGCACTGTATATGGAATTGCTGACATTTTTCTAACTTTGAAGCTATTAAAGTGGAATCAAGTATTCGAGTGTAAGGTGAACTTAGATGCTGGGAGCCACAGCAGCTGGATGTGTACTTCTTCTATTTGTGCGTGACTGTATGTTCATGTACTGCATATAAATGCATTTGTGCGTGTATCAAAGCAGATTTCCTATTATCCTTATGGCATCAGAATAGATGTTGAAGGGTAAAAATGCCATACAGTACATAACAGTGCACCGATTTTAAGTCAGCCTATGAAAACATTGGCATATATGTCTCTGTGTCATGTCTACAAGGCATTAGACAATAGATGCTATTGAGTTGCATTATGGGAAGTGTAGGATGATCCAGTGTTGGTGGAAGCCTGGCCCATGCAAGGGACCAAATGTGGGGATGTGTCTGCCTCTGCTGCATTAATGTTATCCTGTGCTCTGTGGCTGTTTGGTTTATATTCTGTGTGTCTGGGTTAGGGTTAGGGCACTGTTTGCTGTGGTGTTTTACATCTCTATGTTCTTGCAGTGTGTAGCTGTTGTGTCAGATCACTTTAAACACAGCTGAGGGCGACAGTCTCTCCTAGACTATCGTGTACGTCTTGCCATTATAAAAACAATATGGTTCCTCTGTCTTGCCCGATTCCTGCAGACAGAAGCAAGAGTTTGTCTGCCAAATTATGAATTTAGAGCCAAGACATGTCTGTGCTATCAGACATGTCTCATATGTGGTAACTTAATGAAAACATAGCTGGCTATGTGAGCCCATGTGACTTCTCTGCCAACTCCGTTCTGTCTCACATCCCTCAGTTGTTGGTGTGTTTGTCGGGGATGAATATATTCCCCTTCTTACCCCTCTGTAATGTAATTTTTAGCATCAGCCTAGACTGCTGCTTTTACTTTTCCATGTTTTTCTCGAGATGGTGCTAACGGTTAGCTAGCTTGTGTTCCATCGAGGACATTTTAATGTTTCAGGATAATTTATATCCGGCCCCCTAACGTTTATCTCCTCTGGAAGCAGCATGGCGCTAGTTATAATAATTAGTCTCCCTTTGCTCTCCACTTTTAGCATGAAGCCAGAGGAGCTCATTTTTGAGATTAATATTTTCAAAGCTCTTTTTTAGTGAGGGAGGGAGGTAGCAACTGAGTCAGACTTCAGGCTGCAGTTGCACTGCTGCTAAAACAAATGCCGTCTCTTTATTCCGCTGTACTGTTAAATTTTGCAGTGGAGTTGTGCTAGTGCTGAACATTTGGGAGCCAGCGGGGCTTGTTGAGAGCATGAATAAAAGAGTTCTTGGGGTGGAGTGGTGCAGGATCCTGCTGTGCCAGATTTAGATCTGAAACAGGAGGGAGGAGAGAAAGAGAGAGGGAGCAATGGGAGAGGGCAAAAAGAGCCGCTGCTGTTGAGACTGTAGATCTGTATTGAGTATCAGAAGTCATAACATCCTTTTCACTTTCGGCATTTAGCAAATTGTTCAGGACACTCTGCACAACACAATCTCACTCAGATTTACTTCTCCTGTTTGCATGTGTAACCAAACCTTCTCTCTCCTTAGCAGTCCTGTCCCTCGTTCAACAGTTAATGTCATCGGCTAACTAGGCCGCATCAGCTAAGCTATGTGACGGGTCTGTGTAATGGGGTGTATGATGTCACCTGTTTTGAGTTCAGGGGGGCTGCTTTGTGACCAGTCCGCGTGTGTGTTTGTGTGTGTTGATGTTCCAGCTGAACTCTCCGATGAACTCGGTCAGCAGCACGGAGGACATTAAGCCCCCGCTGGGTCTCAACGGCGTGATGAAGGTGCCCGCCCAGCCCTCAGGCACGGCCCTGTCGCTCACAAAACACATCTGCGCCATTTGTGGTGACCGCTCCTCAGGTGAGTGACTGTGATGAATACCCACATACAATGACACGTATGTACTGTCTGCACAGGAAGCATGGGGCAATAAACAATACTCAAGTTATAATTGAATTTAATTATTTAAGCTGAAGTGATGTGACGTTACTAGATAATTTTTTGAAACGGTTAAGTAAGTGTTTGAACCTGCTTGCCTTTTTCAACTGTTTGTGCTGTTAAAGCTTCATGCAATTTTTTATTTTGTACAGATGAGTCACAAAAAAATAATAAAGCAGAATTTTCTGTGACTCATCTGTACAAAAGGACCCATGATGTCAAAGTTGGTAATTCTCATAAACACATTAAATTATAAATATGGAATGACTAAGCTTAAATTGATTGGCGATGACTATTTGAAAGTGCGCATGAGTCAAAGCCTAACCAAGAAGTACAGGGAATGTTATGTATAATTTAGGGAAGAATTGTGTGGAAAGGTATAAAAATAATTTTTCAGCAGCTGGGATTACACAAGACTCCATTATTATCACATAAAAAGACATTGGGACTACCCAGCATCTTACTAAAGCTGGCATTCTGACCACAATGAGAAACCTCCAAAGAAGATCCAAAGATGAACTTTGGTTAGAGAACAGCCCCATGGACCGCTCTGGCAGAACTACATACTGCAGCTTCTTTCAGGCAGAGATCTTCCTGGAAGGACAACAGTCAGTGGAATTCTTCACAAATCTGGGCTAAATGGCATCAAGGCCAGAAAGAAGCCACTCCTGAGAAAATGCATATGAGGGCAGCACCATAAAGGCACATGAAAGAAACTGAAATCATGAGGCAAAAGATTGCACGGTCTGATGAAACCAAAGCCCAGTTCAGCTTAGGCTCAAATAAAGAAGCGCTCTGTCTGAGGGAAACCAGGCACAACTCATCACTCATCACATAGCGTCCCTACCATGAAGCTTGGTGACACCACCATCGTCATGGTGTGGGTGAGCGTCTTTTTTTTTTTTTGCCTTGAGGACTGCTCATAGAAAAGACTGGAGGAAAATACAGGCAGATGTTGAGAGAAGCGTTGTTTCAGAACACAGTTTGACAGTGAGTCTTGGTACAGAACAGTGCAAGTACGAATACTCCCACATCTCTACTGGAACTCCTTCAGATGTGGCTGTAGAGATACATTCTGCAGTACGTAATGGTTCTTCATGATACATGATAACACAGTCATGTGTCAGTATTTCTGAAGAATGAGAACTATATAAATTACAAAACAATTACATTTTAAACCCTCTTGAAGTTCAGTTCACATTTCAGCCACTTTCATGCCCAGAGGAGCTGTATGAGTGATGCAAATGGTTAAAAATCAGCCAGATATCACTTGCAATGTCCCACTAGTGTGTGAAAAAGGAGTCACTACATCAGCAACAGCAAACACTACTTTCCTGTTGACAGGGCTATACATGGCTGCATATGTTGTTATTTATATGTCTATTGTTACATCGTTGTCTGCCACATACCTGACTTGAAACTAGGTGAAATGTCTACTTTTCCTGTCTCAAGTGAGTCATTTTTGTGTACGCCTGCTCATTTGTGTAACCAAAGTTCAGACTTGTAGAAAATACCGGCGGTTATTCTTTCTTGGCCACACATGCTCACTCTTAGCTTCTCTTAATCATCGGCTCTGGTCAAGAGCTAGCTTTACAACTTTAACCACAAAAACATTTAACCCATGGCTAACTGTTAGCCCAAGGCTAATGACATAAACAGCAGCCCTCTTTGCAAAGCCGTTGAACTCACAGTCTTCACAGTCAACAAATAACGCTGTGTTTCAATGGTTTTCTGGGGATAACCATGAAAAATGTTCAGCCCCAGGATTAAGCTGGATATCTAATTTATTGTTCAGTTTTAGCATCATCCTGCGTCATCGGTGTTATGTAGACCCAAGGGGGAAAATCAAAACAATGTTTAATAGCATGCTTCATTTAACTGTGCTCAGAGGCTTTATTTATCTTCTCTGGTGGTCTGACTAGCAAAGAGCTAACAAAGAAACAGTTTGAGTAACACTGGAGAATGCAAATGGCCTTCATCTGTCATAAATAAAAAAGAGCCGTTAGGAACAGAGATGTGAGAACAGTACCGTAGCGCAAATCCATGAGGCCCCCCTGCAGCTTACCTTCAGTAGGCCCCTCTTTTCTTACCCAGCCACCTCGGCATAACCCCCAAACACATAGTCTGTTCACTTTAACAGGTCTTTGATTCGTCAGTTGCTCTTTTGCTACCTAAGAAGCTGGTTCCTGTATGCTGTTTTTGTGGTTGCATGTCATATCAGAAAGATTTCTGTTCTCTGGTCTCTTAGAAAACCCTGCTAATAAAGCTGCAGTGCACGCCACGGTTATGTTACTGTTCAGTTGGTCACTAGGTTGCAGAAGTACTCTACAGAATAATTGACAAGATAAGTAACTGACAGCAACTAATGTGTATGTCAATATAAGGCTGCCACGCTGTCACTTAACTGACAACCTAATGGGTCAATTAGACAGTAAGACATGGGAACTTTAGGAAGATTTTATACTCTATACACATTGGAAAAACCATCTATGTCTGTCTCTCCCCTCAGGTAAACACTATGGGGTATACAGCTGTGAGGGCTGCAAAGGTTTCTTCAAAAGGACGGTGCGCAAAGACCTGACGTACACCTGTCGTGACAACAAGGACTGTGTCATTGATAAGCGCCAGAGGAACCGCTGCCAGTACTGCCGCTACCAGAAGTGTTTAGCCATGGGCATGAAGAGAGAAGGTACAGCACATACCGTTGAGGATAAAGTCCCACTTACCCATTCCCTCAAGTCTGTTCTAATCCAACCAAACACACATTTACACACAGATAAGTGCCATATTTTTGGAAAGGAAGAAGCAATGCAGTGCATATGATGAATATATTTGCTATTTTTGTGACCAGAAACGCACAGAATACTTTCCCCCGCTACGCACTGACCATTTTATAAATTACAGCGGCATCTAGAATGACTTAATTTAACAGTACACAACAAACTAATCAGATTTTGGTGTGTTCTCAAACTGCTGTTAAATGTGACACTCTGAGAAGATACCAGTATACTCACTGTGACTACAGGTTCATTCATTTATTGGCATCTGCACCAGATACAAAAGCTTGCATGATACAGTTGGAAGTACACACAACTTCTAATTTTAAACATTTTCATGAGTTTAATAATCAAAGAGCAAAATACGGCGTTTCCTTTTGTCCGTAAATTCACCACTTTGTCTTTTCAGAAAAATAAAATAAGATTTGGTTTGATTTTAAGTGGAGAGTTGCAAAGGGCAAATGTATTGCACCTGAGACATTTATTAAGTTTTGAAGATGTCCCTGCCTCAAGTCATTGTTACAGTAGCACTTGCAGGTATGATTATGCTCTGCTACATTGTGCTGTGCATTGCAGCCATATGCTCTACTGGAAAAACATTTGGGGAAATTATGCATTCGGCTCTTGCAGTATTGCTGGATGTGGAAACGGAGTGAGGGTTTGTGAGAACAGGCAGTCCTCAGGGAGTTGACTGATGTAGACTGGAGAAATAAAAACAACAATGGAGCTATGCGAACTTCTGCCTCCTTTGCATCCTCTGGATGTAACCGTTGGTGCTCTTGTGCTCCTAATTTTTTGTATAAACTTGGGAGTTGTGTGGGACAGCCTATCTAGTTATTGGGACCGACTTGTTTTCACAAACAAAGATTTGTTTGTGTGCTTATTTTGCAAGATACTCAATGCACAAAATTTAATCAAAGTACTCAAATTGGATAATAGCTTGTAATTGCACGGCACGGTGAAAACGTGCACCACATTCCTCAAATTAGAGGCTCCTGATGGAATGCACATACTGCTGCTGCCCTTTTCAAATGGATACAGAGATTTAATCAGTCTCATAATGAGGCCCCAGATATAGAACATATAGTTGTGGAGGACAGACCATTAATCAAACTTTCACTTTAAAATAATGTTGTCAGTGTCCATGTGATTTTGGTTGAAGAATTTAATTCAAACATAAACAGGCACCTATTATATACTATACATAACAAGGTTTTATATACTTTTTTACAGGCTGTAAAACACAGCCGTGAAATGAACAAGGAACACAACTGACATTCAGGCTTATTGTTATTTATTGATGATACTTTGGATAGCTTCCTGACAACAAACATGTCACGTTTAGCGATCTACTTCAGTGTTTAAAGTTTTAGGAGTCAGAACATATCATCCCTCTGTGGACACAAAGGGCTTCATTTTTCCATTAAAGGATTTATTCAAGATACACCAACAAAACATTCCTGCAAACCACTTTTCCTCCAACACAGAAAACTTATCTCAGTAGAGACTGGAGATTATAGAAATATCCACTGTAACATTTACATGGTTAAGGTATGACTACCATGAATGTCATACTGAAGTCTGTCTGAGCTACAAGCCCTACTACTTTTAGCTTCCACAGTGGCACTGCTTCTGAACTTACATATGCAACTTACAGGCAGAGTCACTTGGCTAGAAACAAACTTTTTCAAATTCAAATTTTGTGTTGATGGAAGACTGTTGACTTGTGAAGTTCATCCATTAATTAGTCGGAGAACACCAGTGGAGGACAGGATTAGTTTATGTTTCGATATGATTAAATTAGCTTGTTCTAGCTTGCCATTTAACTGTAATGAATGTCATTGAAACATTAATTTATTTAATTTAATGACTGAATGATGAATATATAAAATAAGATAGTGTTACCTTTAGAACCTTTTGCGACCGTGTTGATCTTAAGCTAGCACTAACTAGAGTTGTTCAGTACATGAAACTGGTGAGTGGAAGCACTGTTGTCAGCTCAAACGTTATTACTTCCTGGTTAAAAGTGTACAGAAAGATACAGACGACTACATTGCAAAATGTGGCGTCTGAGCTATTATTATAAACAGTGCTTGTATAGACCATGTTTTGTGCTGAACTGAACCTAACAGAACGAACCAGCAACCGACTGAACTGAAGACAGGATCGGTCTGAATGCCGTTGCTTTATAGCAGAGCGATGCATTTGCCTACTAACTGAGGTGCATTTGAACAGTGATGGGTTAGGAAAAAGGTGAATGAAGTAGGGATGACAAAGTGAAGACATTTTCATGTCCGTTAATAACAACATAACTCTTGACAACACTGGTGTTGGCGATTAGACCGGACATTTGACAAGATGCTTCACTCATTCATCAACATCAATAAAAGCTTCCCAACTAGAGTAGTTTATTCATATAATTATAGCAACTTGAATTATTGAATTATTATTATTAGCAAATTAGAGTGACTGTGACTTGTAAACATGAAATTGACAAACACTAACTGTAATTTGGTGTGGTACAGTACTTTGAGGACCGATTACAGAGCCAGTAGGGAAAGCTTGGGTTGCCTGAGGGGGGAAAAAACAGGCAGTCAGGTGTGAATTTTAACACTCCATAAGGGTGTTAAAAAATATTAGCACTCTCAACAGTGCTGTTAAGCACTCTTTCACACATTGAACAAATCAATCACTGCCTCTCAACATTATGGTCACCACGGTTACGGAATACAGATATGGAGTACATAGATTATACAGAGTGATGTAGTACAGCCAGGGGAGCTGAAAAGCAAAGTCGGTAGCAGGTGTTAACCAGGTGTGCATGCTCAGGTGGATGTGTGTTGGATGTAGCTTCATTGTTTAAAGCTAAGTGAACAAGAAGAATATGTGTTTTTTGGATAAATGCATTTTGGAGGCTATTCTATCCAAGGCCAATTTGTCTTGACCTTTACTTGGCCTCCCCTCCTTCTTGCTTTTATTTATATCATTGTTGGGCTCTTTACTCCTTTCAAGGATATTATCATTTACTGCCTCACTCACAGTGCTGCCTAAGCCTCCCCCTACACCCTGAGGGCTGTGGTTAGAGAACAAGGCAGCAGTAGCCCAAAAGGCTAAGCGAATCCACAGAAAAACAGGATTAAATGAATTTATGCTCTCCCAGTCAGGAGAGGAGAGGAGAAGGGGGTTTGGGGGGGGGGGGGAGAGAGAGAATAAAGCTAACATGATTTCAGCCCTCCTCACCTCTCCCTGACTCCAACACAAGTATTCTACCCTTGGGCTGACCTCCACCGCCAGACAGCAGTTCCTCTAAAATGGGGCCCCTTTCCCTCTCTTCCTCTAACAACCCCTGCTTCCCTTTCCCCCCCAACAAGACCACGGCCTCTCTGATTCAGGACTTGGAATAGAAACCAGAGTAGGGGAAACGTAAGAAGACAGATCATCCTGCAGACCTAGTGTGTGTGATATGTGTGTGTCAGGGCAGTTCTCCAGGTGTGTATGTTAGCTTGCACGCTGACATTGAATCTCCAAAAACCCTTTATCATTCAACACATTATGGCCCAAACTTTTTTATTAATCCATGTTTAGAGGACAAACTTATAAAAAGCCGCAGTACTTTTTTCTGTGGTGTCTTGAATTAAGTAAATTATAGCCTTTTGAAAAGACAAAGCACACACACATACATCTTTTCCATCCTCACTTGAGGGTGGAGGTGCGGTTTCTCTTGCCTCGGCCACAGTGAGTCTCGGTGTCTGCTCAGCACACAAACCATTTCCTGTGTCTCCTCGTCCAGCCAATCAGATGACAGAACCAACATGGTTTTGCTTCAAGCTATTTTTTTTTTACCCGACATGGGGAAAAAAAATGTATGAGACAAAGTCTTCATTGATTTGTGTTCAGGGTTTTTTATTTAAGCTCTTCTGGTGTCCACGCACGGCGTGAAGAAGGAGTGACAGGCAATACATTATTTATGTGTCTATAAATGATTTGTGTATAAAAGGAGCCGGCTGTTTGTCATTGAGCGCTGCATGAAAAACACATCTCTTTGATAAGGAAGCTGAAAGTCCTTGAACATTTCCACGCTACTGCGTTGTGCATAATGTAGGTCTAAGGTCCTAAATAAATTCCATCCGCACTGCTGAAGCAATTATTGATGATTGAACTCTCTTGGATATGTTTACTGGCATAATACATACAGGGTCATGCACTATTCACTGGCTTACCGAGACACACTGACTGAAGCAGGCACTTACATATGCAGATACTCGACATGGGTAAGCAAACACACGCTCGAGCATGCACACACACATTGTATGTTCAAGTGTGTGTAGTTATAAATAGGGGCCAACTATGTATTCAGTTATCTACTGATGTGTACCAGACTATGAACCTTAATTTGTTTTCTCATAACAAATGAGAACTCAAACATTTAATCAAAGGGAAGATTCAGTGTTGGAAGCTGTTCTATCTAATTCTATAACTGTGTTGCCAATCAAAAAAAGACGTCTGTCTTACCAAAAGTCATTTCATCTCTGATTCATCCAGAATCATTTATTTTTCTTCAGAGCAGAAAAAATAATCTACCAGCGTAGTTCCCAGTGTAGTTCCCCTTGTTAGAGAACTTTTCCAGATGTGAGTCATGTTCAGTATCTCGAATAAGACTTGGGTAAGGCAGATTGTTGCACTAGAAACAAGAACACTTGATTATAGAAAAAAAAGTCTGGATTAATCTCACCTCATTGGTAGATTGCCATGTTTTTTGTATTTTTACAAAAAATAGACAGCGACTTGCTAAAAACAGGATTTTAACCCCAATTGCAGTGTCTGAAAATTCTTACTAAACTGCAAGTTAGTTTAAACCGGTTTGCAGAGTTAAAACTGCGTTAAAAAATGTTTGGCCACTAGGGGATAGATGTGGAAAACAAGCTCAAAAACACAAAGCCCTGATATATCACATTACAAATTTGTAATCAGTTACCTACTTATGTCAGTAGGCACAGAACAATATTAACATTAATTTTCAGTTGTCTGACTCTAACTTTTTTTTTTAGCTCTTGTTTGGTCTCTAACAATGCTAGAGAAAAATATCTCTTTAGCTGCTCTCCTCATCAGCTAGTAGCTGACTTTGTCTGCAATTTGGTTCTGGGCTTGTAGAGCACTATCGATCTACCATATCTTTGCTGAAAACAGCCACAGTAATTGTGTTGTAAAACCAAAACAATTAGCCAAAAGAGGCTAAATAAAACAAATAAATAATGATTCTCTGTGAGTTTGTCACTATGAGTAACAGTCCTTTAAATAATTGTCAACATAAAAAGCATTAATTAATGCACCTTTAACATTTTATAAAACCATGTAGGCTTGCAATCCTGAATCTTTCTTTGAGCTTACATGTGCTCCTAAACACATGTTGACATTGTAAAAAACAAAACAAAAAACAGCAGTAGTGACCGGAACCAGTTTTGTTACATGCAGCCGTTCAGGAGGAGCGCCAACGAGCCAAGGACAGAAATGAGAACGAGGTGGAGTCCACCAGCTGCGCCAACGAGGACATGCCCGTGGAGAAGATCCTGGAGGCCGAGCAGGCGGTGGAACCCAAAACCGAGACCTACATTGAGACCAACCTTGGTGTGCCATCTAACTCGGTGAGTTGGTATTTTTATACGTGCTTTGGCAAACACTCACATACTGTGTCATCACTTTGTGTACATGTCCATGACTATATGTGGCGCACAAATACACACACATACTCACAGTGGGTGATTTCTTTAGTTCGAGGACCGTGTTTTCTCTCGTAGTTGCTCATGCATTTTTTTGGGTATTGCATTTAACTGAATGGTTGTTAGTTTCCATTCTCACCCATTATAAACTCAACCTGACTACAAATTAACAATGAAAATGGATGATCATTTGAACACAGCTTCTCTTTTTGACTGTGGCCATTGTGTAGGCACAATAAAACACTGTGTGCTGATTGAGAAAATAATCGACTTACGTTTATCACACATGCCTGCTATTTTCAGATATCAGAACACCTCGTTGTGTATTATTGCTGGCCTGGTAGAAAGGATATTTATGGGGGGTTAGAGGTAAAAAAAACAACAAACGATGAAGTGAAATGCGTAGTTTATAGTACAAGACACGCCCTAGTCTGTTTCTCTCTTCTACAATTTTTTCATATATGTGAGACTTTGTCCAGTTGTTTATATGTTAAAGCCATGTATTTCTAATCAATTACATTTAATTACCCACATGTTATAAGTAGTCTTAAAGTGTGTCTATATCCAGTATACACTACACTGTAGTATAGTGTTTTTGTAGTCAGTATGGAAGAACTTAATGCATTATCTTCTGCTAATATGTAATGATAGGCCTATAAGACACTGAAACTGTAACTGGGTCCAAGTCTACTGCCAGTAAGATTTATAGAAAGGAAAGCAAAATGTTCTTCAGAGTTATGGCTTACACTTTATTTTCCGCTTTCCAAAATCACACTGGAGCTGTCCCAACAGTGTCCACATTTTTTATTTTCTCTATTTTTTTTTTCTAGCTGCAAGTAGCTCTTATATCTTTCAGAAACAGCACACTTTAAAATGAATCTGCATACTGACATCTGAGCACATGATGCAGTTTTGTCATTCATAGTGTTAATATGGTACTCATTGTCCAGTTAGAATTGTCATGTAGGTTAAAATCAGTACATGCTATTGGAAAAGCCTTATATTTTCTTTGTTTCCAGTAATAAAGTCTAAGTCTAAGATTGACAGTCAGGAAGTTTATCAACACCCTGCTCCCTGCTGGTAAATATGTTGATGAATTCTGGGTGTGATTACTGTTTGTCCTCCCTTTTTTAGTCCCTTTGGAGGTGACTGCTTGTAATGAAGTGCGCTGGTTTACCTGTTCGCCTTGTATCAGCTACTAGACTCAGCTGTGAGTTTCCTCATCTATTGCCTCAGTATCAGCTGGGCACTGTGGGCTGTCTTTGACACAGAGGAGACTAAAAGTGATGAATAATGCAACAGGCAGACCGTTCCTGAAAGCATCCCACAAAGCCTCAGCTTTCTCAGGAATTCTGCTGGAACATGAGAGAGTGGAGCTGTGCAGCAGCCTAGCAAAGGAGGTGGGGGGTTGACTGAAGCAAAGAGGGGGAGAGAGGAGAGAGGGCTTCTTCTGGGATTCATCTGCTTCAGGGGGAGGGAAATGTCCTATGAAGTAAAGGTAGAAATGTGAAGGCTGTTATGTGAGTAAATGGGAGCTATTTTGGGGACCTAGATGGAAACGTAGGAGATGAGCGTTGACATTAGGGAGACGGAGAAAGAGTGGGAAGTCGCCGGGGAACGGCTGGCAGCTCAGACACACTAATGCACTGAGTATGTTTGGGCTCAGCCATGGGGAGTCCCTCGATGCCCGCTGCCTGCTGAGGAGAGATGAAAACAGCACTGATATACGGATGTACAGGGCTGAGACTTTTGTTTTTCCAACTTAAAGTGGAATCATAGTAGGACGTTATCATTGTCCAAGTTCCTGACTCTGCTCAAGCTGTAATTACAGTAGAAACACAACTGTGTTTGTTTGTTTTAAGTATGAAACGTTTGGTCTAATGAAATGTATTTACCTTAACGTGAAATCTATTTATAGAAGAAACTCTCCCTATTTATATATAATGTTGATTTGAACCATATTTGGTGATCACTTGATGCGTCATCATTTCCTCAATATCTCTTTGAACATTGCTTAAGTTATGCATTATGCTTTTTTTGTAAATACTGCTGCCAAGACGTTTCTTTCATATTTAAAGGGTCACTTTACCAAATTCAGAGCATTGCACCTACAGGTCAAGTATCAAGCATTGCCCATGATTTGGGTTATTGGTTTTAAAATGTTCCTCTGAAACTTGGCTGCCACCCCTATACATTAGAGCTGGAAGGAATTTAGGTTTGAGTGTTTTGAACATCATTTTGGAGTTCTTCTTGAGTTCCTCTTTTTGAGTTCTTAGCCCTACTAACAAAACTCCGTTCACCTCCATTGTATTAGAGTGGCAGCAGAGATCTCAAGATACTCAGAGGCGTGCTCTGGTGGGGCAGGTGTGCAGTTTCTGTCCACCACGGCTAAGATGCACAGTTTGATTGGTGGCCATGTTGGAAAACCGTTGTCCTCACACTAGCAACTGGTTGGTTAAGCCCTCTTGCTGATGTTCACCGCTGGCAGTTGGAAACAAGTGGCTGGTGATGCCATGTGACACGGAGCACATGGTCTGTCTGCAGCCATCCACAGTCCAACAGCAGTGACAGGGACAGCAGTGCAAAGGCCATTAGGTATTCCAAATGGCGAAAACTGGGGGAAAAAAGTAAATTAATTGGGGGAAGAGAGAAATACTTACTGTATCTAAAACCTGGGCAAATAAAACTGAAAGTATCTAGTAGGAGTAAGCAAGAAAACCTCACTTTGAAATGACCTTTTAACCAAACTAGAGCCCAGTAGAGCATCGGCATGCAGGTTGTCCACTCCCCTTTCCCTGGAGTTCGGTCCCTCTGCAGAGACCTCACAGCCCCCCCCCCCCCCTATTGAGATCTGCTGCCCCGTGCTATAATTGATCACAGGGCCCAGGCAATGACTGTACATCATGAATAGGCCACCGCCACTTTCTAATGGCCGGGGTCTGGCCAACCTGAATAAAGTGTGTTTATCTCATGGTGACCTAGAACAGGAGTTAAACAGGCGTTAGTAATTTGCCTTTAGTAGGGCAAGGAGACGACTTCTCTTAAGGAGGAGGAGGAGGAGGAGGGAGGGTGCTCTCCTTCACTAATCCTGGGGGTGTTTCTTTACTTCTTTGTCTGTCTCTCCTTCTCTATCTCTGTCTTTGTATCATTTCTGGATGGCTGCTTACCATCTATGCAATCATGTATGTGAAGGTTTAGTTCCTTATCTTTTCCCTGAACTTAAGGCAGGAAGCGTTGCTGTTATTTAGATGATTAGCTGATGATCTATCCACGCTCCAACGTGAGGGCGGTAAAAAAAGTGGGACACTTGGCTAATTCATTTTCATACTGATCTGTATGAGTACCCAATTTTCTCCCTGTTGTCACGCTAGTATAGTCTGGTTCAAGCAGAATAATGAAAAATTGAAAGGCAAATCTTTCGTCTCCCCTTCTCAAGTGATAAAAATTTCATAGGACAGTATGCAAGCCTGGCATTTCTCTAAGTTGCTGGGATGATCGACTATGGCGTTGGTGTGTGCGTGGCTATACCCTTTGATTTGCTGGGATTGAAGACAGAGTTGTTTGTGGCTGGCTTTTAAAAAAAGTCTGCTGAAGGGGCTAAAATCCAGTAACTTCAAATTTCTTCTCTTACCTTCTATCTCAAGTTTCACTTTTTGTCCGAGGGTCCTCCCACTTATTTGCTTCCTATTTGTCTGCTGTTATCGTTACAGTGAAAGAAGTAGCTCTTACAGTTGAGTTGCAAGGTAATTCCCAGGTGGAGGTTAATGATATTCTCTCACAGATCACAGTAGGGCTCCTCCATTGTGGCCCGATAACATCCTAAATGCTGCCTGTGACTTGAACAGTAAGTACAGTAATGTGACGCCTGAGGATTGTTGCTGGAGAGTGTAAGCTCCTCTCCCCTGTCATCTCCGCAGACTGAGGCAAAGAAACCAGGTCAGTGTAAACACGGCTAAGATAGCCATACAACTTTCATGAGGCTTGCCATGTTTAACGAGAACCCTGGGACTTGTATTCTTATGAGGGGTGGCTCGACTGTGGCGCACACTGAAGCCCCTTTTGGTTTTTCTTTGTTTTGGCTGGGGCTGCCCTTTGGAAAGAATTAGCTGAATCTGTTTATGTGTTTTTGAGAGGAAGTGCAGCTCACGAAAAGTGTCGCGCTGAGCTGTGCCGTCCACGTCTCCCACGGAGATCAGATGCTGAAATATTCATAGGATGCCTGTTTTCTTTCTCCCCCCGAAGGAAAAAAAAAAGGAAGACTTGCAGCTCTCAAAACAGTGTAGGCTTTGTGTCTGCTTTACGTTTTTCATATCTGTGATACTCTGCAGTCAGTGTGAGTTTCACACCGTAGGGAGGGAACGTGGAGGAGAGGAAGGGATAGTCTTTGGCCCGCATATTATAAGAGGAGAATGTGAGTGGAGGGATGTTTTCCCCTTCATCTTGAACTAATCTTCTCTTGAGAGCTGCAGTTGATGTCGGGATCCTCAGAGCTTTTAGCATCGATTGGTGGGATTTGGAGAAGGAAGTTGGGGAGAAGTTGCTGACTGTCTTTGTCGGAGTGTGAGTTCACACAGGGATACTTGGAATTTAAGGATGTTGACTTGATTCAAAATTATGCAAAGCATGTGCACAAAGTCTTTGTTTATACACAAGCATATCGAGGGATATGTACGCCTGGGATGATGACGAGTAATTGTCAGAGGTTGACAGTATTGTTTGGGATTTTTTTTCCCCCCTGCCCACATGGATTTACATTTTAGAGAATAAGTCATACTGCACGTGTGTTGCATTAGTATTCCACCACTGCTCACAAACTCCCTGTTGGTTAAAGAATCATGCCTCCCAATCTGATGTAACAGGACAGGACAGGCAGTCTTTGGACTGGCATTTCAGTTGCACACTGAAATGATTGTCTCATCTGCAGTTATGATTTACATACCATATTCTTCAGGTTCAGGTTCTGTTAAGTTGACTAGTTTGCTTTAATTTTTAGGGCAAGAAAAGAAACACTCTGAGTAAATTAAATAATTCAACAATTGTAAGGACCAGAGTGTAATTCCTGGCATAGAAAAAACATTTGAGAAAACAGCTTTTAGACCATAATGTAGGTTCTAAAACCCAGTCAGCAGCCTTTTTCATTGGTAAATACGGGTTTACTTGATTCCAAGGGAGCTGAACTTAAATACTAATGAAATACGGGTTTGGGTTGAAGAGGTAGGTGTTTTGCAATTGAAGACATTTTTACATTTAATGGAGAATTCTTACAAAGTATATCTACAATGTTCACTGCAACACTTCAACTATTTAAGCCCCTAAGAGAAGAGAGGCTTCTTAAAAGCATATGCACAATGTCTTACATAACATACACTGAAATAATAAATGTGTCCTTGTCTGTAGCCAATCCTACTTCTGACAATCCTCCATCTCTTCCCAAAGTAGATCTAAAAGAAAAGAAAATGATTGTAGCTTTGTCTTTGGTTCACTTGCACCTTTTTATTTCATGAAGAACTAGGCAGTGTGTCTGTTTTGGGCACTGAATGGACAATGCGACAGCCCACTCCATTACCAAGAAGTGCTTCTTCTTTATTTTATCAAAATCCAATGTTTTTTTTCTTCTCAGAAATGATCTCCTTAAATTACGTCAGTTATTCTTCTGAACAGGTATTACTTGGAAGGTACTTGGAAATCTAAAAATGGATACACTATCCAACTATGAATGCACACTAGCTTTTGATACATAATGTAGCAAACTTTTGTTTCAGTCATATTACATTGAGAATAATCATACACTGATTTTAAGTATTACTCAGAACAGATATGGATAATCATTAAACACAATCATTTGCTGAGTGTTATAAAGCCCTGCCTTGTCTGGTAATAAAGTCCCATTTGAGCTCCTAAGCGCTTATTATGTTGTGAAGCGTCAGTAGAGTGTCAGGAGGGGCCTCTGGAGCTCCACTAGCTGTCCAAAAGGCTGATTTGTGTGTCTGCTAAAAGGTCCCCAAAGAAAAGAGTCTGTTCGGTGAAAGTGTTGTGCTCTCTGCAGGTATTTCCTCCACGAGCTGTGACAGAATCACAGTTTGTTTTGTCTTCCTACCAGCTCCTCTTTAGAGGATATTATTCATAGCATACTAGTCAAACGTTCTCACTCTAAGGGTGAATGTGCACGTGGTGATAGGTGGCTTGACCTGACTCCAGGCTCTCAGCCAAAAGAGACCCACAGGCTGTAAAACATAAAGATGACACCTTTTCATTTCATGCATTACCTGGATTTCTAACCTTCAGATTTGTGTCTGTTTTGTATCCGTTTCCCTGCAGCCGAACGACCCAGTGACAAATATATGTCAGGCGGCTGACAAACAGCTCTTTACCCTGGTAGAGTGGGCCAAGAGGATCCCCCACTTCTCTGAGCTGCAACTGGACGACCAGGTGATCCTTCTACGAGCAGGTAGGTTAAAATTAGCTTAAACCAATTTTTCCACAAACCGACTGACATTAATCATAATTTTATTCCATAATGACCTCTCCATGAGATATGTGGATTCAGTCACATATGAAAAAAAAAAAGGAAATTGACAAATTCATGGCACCCAGGAGTTGAGATCAAATACTGTACTAATAAGCACACAAACTCTGGCAAAAGCTTCAATACTACTTGAATCTAGCCATTATTATTTGAACAAACAGCTAGATTGATATTTTTAATACTGTTTTAAGCAGTTTTTTAAAGGCCCTGCACACCCATACATATGTTTTTCAGTTTTTATGACAGATTACAACACAGATAAGATAGGTAGGTTTGGCGGAGCTACTGTACAAGCTGAAGGTATAATATGTACTCTAGTGAGAGTGTGAGTAGTGTACCGAGAGTGAAGGAAATGCCCATTCAGCACAGCACAGTTGTGAGAATAGGTTAAAAAAGAGCAAATAGAAGAGTATATACTATTGTTCAAAATAGTCAAATGTGAACATTTTGCTTTTTAGATAAAATGGCAGTTATTTTGGTAGCATTCAGCCAAGCATTTTGTTTTCCAAATCTTGGTTAAAATGTGTAATTTTTATGATCCTATACAATAGTAGATACACATTGATGTTAGAATATGGACAGAAAAACTCAGCCATTGAAACCGTCTATGAGAAGACACACTGAACTGCTAGCGCTAGCTAGTATCTAGGTAGAAAAATCTCAGCAAAACAGAACTGAACAGACTAATTTGGCCATAACCATGAATAACTCTCTTGGTCACATGACTGAGAAAAGAGATAGATCCACCAAGGTCACAACGGCTCACTGTGTGCATCTACTGTATGTGGACAAGCGAGCTAACCGCTCAGGATCACAGAAGCGGCAACAGAAAAACACACAGTGAATCATCTGTCACTTCTCTTACATCCACCAACATCACATGCAGGAAGGTCTTTCGGGTTCTCCCAACACATTGCCCTTGTTGCCTGCCTGTCGCTCCAAATTACCCCATTATATTCTAAACCCACCTTGAGGAAAAATAAAATGCTATTAGCCTACACACTCGTCTAATACTTTGAAAGAAAAAAAAGAAACCCCCCCATCATTCCTTAGCCTTCACACATACAATGATGGAGAGACTTCAGCAAAGCAGAGAGAGACGTTATTCTGGAGAGCTCGTCTCTTCTCGGCTCTCAGGTTTTCTATAAATAACCGCTTTAGTTCTGCTTTATCACAGATAAAAGCGTCCCGGCTCCTCTCATACCCGACTCAACTCTGGGGAGAAGAGGCGAGTGTTGCCAGGCAGAACAGTTAAAGGAGCCCTGTCACTCAAAAGGCAGCGTCCTGTGTCTTCGATGCTCTCTGTGTCAAGCCCCTGCTTTGGCACATCAAGCCTGTTGTCTTTATTGTTATGGCAGGCGCAGTTCATCCCTTTTACACGCTTGTCTCTTCAGAAAGCATGATTCAAATGTCTTAGTAATAACCTGATGCCTGTGCTTGAGAAAGCTGCACGCTTTCACTGCGCAGCTTAATTGATTCATTGGAATTCCCCCTTTTGTTGTCAGTTTCATTTTGCTTGAATGCTGTGTGAACTTTTGTACTGGGATTTTTCCTTCATACTTTTCCTCGATCCCTCTCCCCATCTCTGCCGCAGGTTGGAATGAACTCCTCATTGCATCATTTTCGCACCGTTCGATAACGATTAAAGATGGGATCCTCTTGGCGACCGGGCTGCACGTCCATCGCAACAGCGCCCATAGTGCTGGAGTGGGAGCCATCTTTGACAGGTCATTATTCCCATGTTACTAAACTTTCTTGTCATTGTGTTTAAACTAGGTGCAACCTACAGCCACCACTTTTAATATTTTAGATACCGTTTTCTAATAGAACTTATAAGTGGTTTATGAATTCTACCTAACTGGCTTTATTAGTGGTTAATAAATAAATAAATAGGTCAGTAATAACCTATTTAGGACAACATGGTTTACCGGATTATGTAAGAAACTCTGGCTGGTAGCATAACTGTCTTTGGGGTATAAGGTAGTTAATGGCTTACTACTGCTTTGTTTACTGCGCTGCATTAATAAATAATGTATGAACTATTATAAATGTACGCACCCCTTAGTGTAGTAATGTCTTTTTTGAAAGTGGTGTAATTTAAGGCATAATTAAGTTGTAACTTTATCAATCAGTAATAAGCCATTAATAATGAGAAGTTTTTGGTTGAAAGGTTTCGAACAAACTATTGTTATGCTCCTTCAGCATAATTAGCTTTGTCTTTATAGGTAGCTCAAAAGATAACTTTATTAATACCTTATTACACATCTATAAAGCATTGTTAAATGATTTAATAAGTAATTATACATGTGTACAACCTCTATTAAAAACTTCTTGGTAACATGTTAGGCATACTTGAAGTTGTAGAATGAGACAATAATAAATAATTCATTATTCGTCAATCAGTTATAAGCCATTAATAACGATGCTTGCTAGGTTGTGTATGCGTGTATATACTCCTGCCTGATAACTTGCTTTGTATTTTAAGTAGTTTAAAAGTTATTAATGCTGCATTAGTGATCTATAAAGTAATAGTCACAGCTTCAAACAGCATTTGATACAGATGTTTCATTAGAAAGTGGTTTCATGATATGCAGCATAGTAAATGTTCGTTCTACTGAAATATCACACCCAACCCTGGAGTCACAAGCGTGCTTTATGAAAGCAGCGCAGGAACTATTGATTGACTCCAGTATATTAAATATGTACACCCGTGTGCATTAGGGGTCACACAGAAACACTGAACTGCTGAGAAAAAATAAAAACTAAAAATCCATGCAAGTCACTCACTGTGATGTCGGGTGTGTGCACGAACCACCCTGGTGACCGTTATTGACTTTCCAGCTGTCTGACAGACTGAAATCTCACATGAGTCTGCGGTGTCTGTTCAGCAGCATCACACCTCGAGCTGAACTGAGAAGTTCAAAAAGATACAAGCAGTATGTTTTTTATTTTTTATTTTTTTTAGGTTTTTATTGAGAAATATTGAACCATTCTGGGCCGGTGATCAATCATTCGCTTATCTTACCAGATAATATATCAGGTGCTGTCATCAAACCCATATTAACAGCAGCCTTCTTCTTCTCCAGCCTCTGTGCTCAGTCATCTGCCACAGGATATCTTCCATCTCTGGGCATTAACTGCGGCAAGCATTAAGATACAGCAAACTGATAGTTTCTTTATCTACTCCTCTCTCTCTCCACTGCACAAATGAAGAGACTGATTATCTTAAACACTTGAGTCTTGTCTTTTCAGTTTCTTTTTCTTTCTTTTTTTTCCTCTTCTAGCCCTGTTGTTCCTCCTCAGAGCAAATTGAATTAGAATGAGCCACAATTGACTTTACTATCCGAGTGAGTTGGAGGGGGCAGAAAGAAACGGAGTGAGAGGGAAAATAAAGAGCGACTGAGGAGAGGGTGTGACCGAGTCAAAGAGGGGTGAGGAGTTCGAGCGACTCCACGCGCTGACACTCCCACCAGTGATGTCACACGCAGACAGTGGGAGTGCTGGTGTTATATTACAGCTTGTGTTTACTCTGTGGCTTTCCTTTTATGAAAACCATGTACTAAATATAATTACTTTGCAGGGTTGTAAACCTTTCCACTGATCTAACTGTGCCTATGTGGGCTGAGAGTGTGCTTGTGTGTATTTGTTTTTAAATAGATTCGAGCTGGATAGTATTTAAACCATATTTGTGTGTGTGTCATTTACAAAAATGTACCAATTAGACTCAAATGGTTTCCTGTGATCTTAACTCTTCTGGCACTCGTTAGTTTGTCTGATAGAACACGAAAATAGCCTGGTAGCCAAGACGGATTAAAGAACCCGATGTCGAATGAGCCACATCTTTAACTTTATTTTATTTGTTTTCTCTTTTGTGCAGGGTGCTCACAGAGCTGGTGTCAAAGATGAGGGACATGCAGATGGATAAGACAGAACTGGGGTGCCTTCGAGCTATAGTCCTTTTCAACCCAGGTAACTATCGCTACGTGTGCGCTTTCATTTGAAAGAAGCTGCAAACTAGCTCTTTCGGAGATGTGTGGGTTTTAAAAGAACATTTATTGTTTAACACTGTCTTTTTATTCAAGTTTCCATTCGACTTTGAACCATCAGCTGACAGTCAGGGAGATGTCTGAAAGCTGTCGCAGAAGGGGAAAGTAAAATGTAACGAATATGTAATAACAGCCTAAAAGGTTCCTAGCTACATGTTAGGCATCAAAACCAGATATTTCCAGCGTGTGAATGCGCTGAGAGAACAATCAGAACTTTTATTCTAGTCCAAAGATCTTAATGTGCTTTTGGGCTGCCACTGTTTCCAGCTATAACCAAGAAAAACAACATTTGACTGACCTTAATATTGCTAGAATAGAATATGACTCATTAGATGACCTGAAGCTTTTGTGACACTCCACCTAAAATCTGTTTTTTAGTATCAAACTCTCCTTCAGCGTGCTGGACAGCTGCCTGTAAAAAGAGTTAGTAGTTTTCTTCATTGACACAGCTGGAATTATCTGTTCCAATGGCAACAATCTTTAGTTGTCTTAGTATATTTTCTCACCAAAATGTGGATAAATACAGCTCTTGAGGTGGGGCTTTCTAGCTTCGAGAAGGACGATCGTAGGGCACAGAAGCAGTGCATTCAGCCATATGTGTACAGTGTACTTGGTATAAGGATGGAGAAGAGGATTATGCTCCACTGGGATCCTGTAAATGACTGAATCTAGTGTGATCTCAGAAGCAAGGAAGCTACATATGTTTTACATCGACCTTTCAAGCCAGCTGGAGAGTTTTGATAGTCAGATTTTAGATTTTGGGCGGACTACCCCTGTAGGTTTTGAACTTGTGACTAAGCTTGACCTCATTAATATAACGTAACAATTGGGAACAGATTTGGACTTGCCTTTGTTGTCTTTGAACTTGACTTTGGACTTCTCTTGAGAAACTGAGACTTGCTTGTGACTTGTAAAACTGATGGCTCCCCCTCTGCATAGCGCTGAGGTAGAACCAAAAGAAAAGCGGGCACAGTGCTTATTTGATTGATGAACGTACTGAAGCAATGAATTCCTGTGTATTTTATAATATGACATTCTCGTGTGATTTTCCTTTTCTGGCAAATGTCAGGCCAAAGAAAGCTGGCGAGTTTTCTCTTGCTAAGGCGTGTGTCCCTCCTGCTATCAGCGTGCTGTTCTGTATTTAGACCTCATCCACATGGCGCTGAAGTACACTAAACCAACCCATGACTGTAACCCAGGTTTTTAATGACTCAGTGCGGGAGCCTCCCTCCATCCCTCTGGGAGCTCCTGTGGATCAGCCCAGACACACTGATCCTCTGTGTTCCACATTTTGATCAGGCCACATCCAGGCCCACCGGCCAGGGTTCACTTCTCGGCCTGATCCCTTGTTAATTAGGGGTTCACTAGACTGGCCTGACCGAGAAAGCAAAGGGTGGAGGAGGGGACGGCGAGGCTAAAAAGGCCCTCGGTCCTTCCTTTCCCACACTGTGCGGTCGGGTCCAGCCGCTGACAACAAATGTTCATTCATTGTTGACCAGTTGTACAATGCTTTGTTCGTCAGAAATGTTAATCAATGACGTGTTTGTTAGTCAAAAATGAGTCCTCCAGTGAAGCTTAAATTAGCACGGCCTAATTGGACTAACCCAGAATGTGGTGACACGCCCACAGTGAGCCTGCAGTGTTAAAACTCAACTTGTAAGTTAGTAAGGCTTTGCTCCCCATCATAAACTACTGCAAGGAGCTCAATGGCCTCAAATACAGGACTTGTAGATGGAAAAAGGCACAAACATTTTGTCCCCTCTGACATAGCAGTTACATTTGTTGTTGTTGATTATTTTTTAATACTGCTTTTGTGTGTGTTTCCACAGACTCTAAAGGTCTGTCCAACCCCAGTGAGGTAGAAGCTCTGAGAGAGAAAGTGTACGCGTCTTTAGAGGCGTACTGCAAACAGAAGTACCCCGAGCAGCCTGGCAGGTATGGATGCAAACACAGAAATGACTGTACACATCCCCAGACGCTGGTTCTGAGATAAACTGTGCAATCTAAAGATAAAGAAAGAAAAAGAGCGTGGCTCGCAACTCGTATTTATCTTGAGTTCCAATCCACACAGGCCTTCATCCAGTAGAAGTACAGTATCCACATAAGCAATTATTTTTATCAGTACACTAGCTTTGGGTTCACCCTGTTATTAGATGCAATTGATTCCTTGCACAGATGTACTGCATATATGTATTAGTCTTTTTTTACCTGACTAAGGGGGTTGTGTGCATCAGATCATTACAAAGTAATTTTATGTATGAGTTGCGAGCCTCACTCTTCCTCACTCTCTTCATACAGATTTTCTTGTCACTCTCTTCGGGCGTTTTTGATGAACAAATTGCGTATTATATTAGTGAGAAAAAAAGTTCAGAGATTAAAGCTTGTGTGTTGTAACCTCACTGCGCTCTCCTGACAATTAGCTGCTTGGATGCCAGATAGGTCTGACAATAAGTAAAGAAAAGGGCCTCATGCAACATTTTTTGATTCTTATCCAAAATCAGTCTTCCTTTTTGGGTTTACCTGTATGAGGGGTTCCAAGTCGCATGACTAAATTCTCCTAACGGCACGAAATTGTTGTAAATCGATTGTTTCAGCCTGATAAACGCCAGCTGTTCAGGAGTAGGTGGGCGTTTGTGAGATTGGATCATTTGCATGGCCCCTAAATGTCTGTATGTGTATAGGTGTTCAAATTGTGGGCAAATTTCATTCACAGAAATGTTATCCATTAAACTAAAAGTTTCGGATTGCGCTTGCTGTCTGAAATCAGCAATCAGCAAGTTATTTCGAACAATTCCATTACTTTAAGTGCGCAGTGGCCCAACATGTGGCTGCTGCACATTATATTAAAGGCTCTGTGGTATCCGTGTTTATCTTCAGCATCATCACCCCATCTCTTCCTCTTCCTCTCGGATGTGTGACACTGTCTTGGTGTCTAATTTTTGTCCCGTGTGTTGTGACAGATTTGCCAAGCTGTTGCTGCGGTTACCGGCGCTCCGCTCCATCGGCCTCAAGTGTCTG